TCTGAGCCTGAGTGACTTTTGGTACACTCATCGGTGGGGAACAGGGAGCTACAAATGGTTTGATTAGTAAAGGAGGGCATATGAGGTGTTATCCACGGCTCACCGTGAGAGCGTTAGTTGGCCCATAGATGAGCATCACAACGAACGGAATAGGTTCCGAGTTGTCGTGCTTGTCGGGCATCGTGCTGGCCGATGTAGAGTCGATGCGCAGATAGATGTCAGCACCATCGCCCTCCGCGTCGTACATGGGTGGGGGTGCGGTGGTGTGAGTGGACATGCGTGGCGGCCGGTTGCGCAACGTCTGAGAGGACGAGTTTGACACAAAGTCGACGACTCCGCTGCACCAGCTTATGTAGTTTTTTGCGTTAAGGCGGATCCCCGCTGAGGCCCGCTCTGAGTAGGATGTCGTGCACCGTGCGCGGCGCTGCCAGCCATTATTGGCTGTCCGACATTCGGACTGTCATGCCTTGAGGGCGGCGTTGCATGTGATTCAAAATCAAGACATACCCCGTTTTTATGTTGTGCCGTGTTGTACCTTGACTCGTGGATTGTCGTTTTGTACCACGGGAGGCACTTGGAGCTCACGAGGGAAGGAGTGTGTGATCCACGCGGTTAGGGCGCTTAGACAGTGAGATTACAATCTGATGAGGAGCTGCGAGGGAGTAGTAGTGTCGGCGGCGAAAACAGAGAGTGAAGAGCTATCAAATGAGCTCGGTGGTCAAGAGAGTCATGGAGGTGTTGAGCGGACGCGCATGCGCTGGTCTGTGCGTTATGCGCGCTCCATATGGTTGCTTCTGCGTGGGGACAACTGCCAACCTAGGCGCTGTGGGTGCCCTGCTTGATGTGTGTCTTCTCAGGCTCACTCTTCCTCTTTCCATGTCGCTCTCCTGCCCCTGAACCCCTCCTGGATATCATCCTCCATGCGACACATTCCTTGGCCTTGTTCTGCCATATTTCAACTGGTACGTGCTGTATAGTATCCCAAGTTTCTTGGCGCTGACTGTCTGCGCCCAGGTACACCTACCTCGCTCTGCAGCTGACCGGCACGACGCAAATGTGACCAGCATGATAAGGGAACATGTGGGAGGGTAAGACATCAACATCATATTTTCCGAAGTTGCGCAACCACTGACCGGCCTTCCATGAGCATGCGCCATTCACTGCAGTGACCTGCGACTCTGATGTGCACCCGCCATGCCTGTACCGCGTGTAGGCAGTCGGTCGGCTATCGGTTCATTGAGTCTTGGTGACCGATGGTAACTCTACGGTGAGACCTACGGGAGGATATAAGCTGGTGCTCATCCTGGGTAACTCCCCAGAGTGTCACTGCTCGTACCCTCTCCCGTTTTGCTCAACACTGCATCCCCCCTGCAGTCTCATGTCTTTTGAAGCTGGCAACAAACGCCGTCGCGACACCGCGTCCTCTGAGGCCACCCGCGTTGTTCTTAGCGGGTCGGCTGGCGAGGGTGGATTGGACGCAACTCCGCTGCAACCGGCCAAGGCTCGCGGACGACCCTCCGACGTTGCGAGCCTGCCCAAGAAGAAACTCAAGGACAACGGCTCCAACAACGACTCGCAAGCTGGCGACATGTCCTCTCCCAAGGGTGATCCTTCCGACGATGGCAAGAACGGTGCGGCGGACAGCTCTGCTGATGAGAGCGGAGCTGAGGCTGCCACCGATGGCGGCATCGAGGCCTTGGCCACCGTCACCCGTAATGCGAGCCGCTGTCTTCGTCTTCTCACTGCGGACGAGAAGCGCGTGCGCTTCCAGGAGAAGTATTGTGGCCAGACACCTGAGGAGATACTCCGCAAGTGGTTTGATATCTTGTGCACATTTCAAGCGGCTGATCAGTGTCGTTTGTTGCAGAAATCATCTCCAAGGGCTGGAGATCAAAGGTCTACGGACACTTCAAGGTTCCGGAGCTCATTGCGGGACCCAAGGGGTCCTATATCTACCGATTTGTTTGCAAGAGGTAAGTCCCGCGCAATCCTACACTTACAATAGTCCCCTGGTACTTATCACTTCATCAGGTGCCCATCCAAGCATTAGGTGCCCATCCAAGCATGTCGATCGTGTCAATTACGAGTACTCGACTGCTAACCTCAAGCACCATGTCGACTCCTGCGAGCCCGACGACACTCCCAAAGGCGAGAAGATCTCGGCATTCGCTCACGGCGTCACCTACACCCCTCCACGTATGCGCCTCTTTCTTGCACTGTGGTGTGCTCGCCGTCACCGTCCCTATGCAATCGTCGAGGATCTGGAGTTGCAGAGCATCTTCCGCATGCTCTATGCCAAGGTCAAGATCCCCTCCCGATCTACGGTGTCTCGGGACATCCAGCTCCTTCATCAGGAGATGAAGTCAGCGCTTGTTGCGCTCCTGCTGGTGAGTGAATGCCATGTGAATTGCGCTTTCCAACCACTGCTAATGCTTATATTTACGATGTTGCAGGGCCTTCCGTCGCGCATTTATGTGTGTGTCAATGGCTGGACCTCCCCAAACGTGCTCGCATTCCTCGGGATCATGGTCCATTGGCACTGGGAAGGGAAAATACACCAGGAACACAGTGACGGAAGTCTTGGCCTGCACGTTGGAAATGTGCGACATTCTCACTGAGCTCTGTGACAAGACACAGTTCAACCGTCGCGACGGCGTCCGCCTCCGTCGATTCATGCTCAACGACGAGGAGTGGGAGCTGCTCTACGAGCTTCACAGGCTCCTCGGTGTGAGTACTCGCGCCGACTGCTTCTACTGAGGATTCATAACTGATCTGCTGCACTGCTCGCAGCCGTTCCTGTTCGCAACAAAGCAGATCTCAACCAGCAGCCACGCGCTGGTACACGAGGTCATCCCATATATTGATATCCTTACCGAGCACCTCAACGACTTCGCGGATGATGACACACTTGTGGCGACCGTTCGCGCAGCTGTGGAGTGCGGGCACGTCGTCCTCAATAAGTACTACGAGAAGACGGACGAGTCAATTGTCTATTGCATCGCGATGAGTAAGCATTGTCCCTATAGTATATACTGGTACTTTGCTAACATCTTCGCAGTCCTGCATCCCGCTTACAAGACTCAGTACTTCCACTTGCACAAGTGGATTGAAGAGTGTATCGACGAAGCCAAGGACATCATCAAGGAGGAGTGGGAGACATACTACAAGCCAGCCAACATTCCCGTTGTCCCCACATTTGTCTCTGCGTGCTCCAGCTCCGGAGTGTTCTCGACAAAGGCCAAGAACACCGCAAAGACTCCCGTAGGTGCTGCAAGTGGCAAGCAGAAAGGCAAGGTAGTCGCAAACTCTGCACGGCGCAGTGCGCAGGCCTCGGTGAATGCGGTATGTTTATCATGTACTCTTGGACAGGCACATTCCTCATTCCTTTCAGGCGTCCAAGGCCATGTTTGTGTCGATCTCTGCAAACGCCAACAAGAACAAGGACACCCTCACTGCCTACCTCGAGGCGCCACCCTTGTCAACCGTCTCTGATCCCTTGATCTACTGGGATCTGGTCTTGAAGAGTGCGGAAGACCCCAAGTCGGCCGACTGTGCGCTGGCCAGGATGGCCCTGGACTTCTTGTCCATCCCAGGTATGCCGCGGCCGTGCAACTCTACGCTCGCAAGCCACAGCTGATGCTAATAACCCCTTCCATAGCTACTTCCACTGACACTGAGCGCACATTCTCGCATGGG